CTTGTGAAGTCTTAGTCACGGACTGCTATCAATCTCGAGTGAAAGGCAATGCCACGTCAAAACCTAAAAAATCCTACTGCATCTCTTCCAAACCATATTTTCAATAGCTGTGCAAAAAAATAGCAAAGTAGCTAGTTGAAGAAGGTTTATCTTAGGATCAAGGAATCAAATACATTCAGCGAAAAGACTGGCTGCTTGGAATCCCATTCGGGACAACCTGTCTTTGATTCTTATGTGGAAAGTAAACAAGAATCACCATCGTCACTACCAAGAAGGAACGTTTGTGACAGTTTGGATTTTGGCCTTCCACACTTCCATGATCAGACGTCACTTTTGTTATTTTTCTTTTATTAAGCATATTTGTCAATTTCCATAGGTACTTTTTTAACATTAAAGGAAGGTGGATTAGTTTAAACTAAGTTTTAGTGTCAGCGATAATTTACACCTGTATATGGCGCACCATGGCTGTTCGTATGTAAGGAAAACGTAATTATTAGCAAGTGGAGAACTGACATCGCAAGTGGATCAGCAAGAAGTAACGGTTTACCAGTGATACGAGATGCACGTTTGTTCCCAAAGAATGAACCTCTTTATATCTGTTGATTGCGCATCAGACGGTAAATGACAATGTCTTGCTGATTTCTATGACAATATCTACATGGCAGTGATGTATCTTTACTATAAAGTAAAAATATGCCAAAAAAAGCACCAACATACATATTCATGTGACTCGCGGAGTGCAGGCATTGCTTTCAAAAGAAATGCCGATTCTGTCTGACGGCATCCTGAAGGAAAGATCAAGAATAGTGGAAATAAGTCGGAGGCTGAAATTCCAACAGACACAGACCTTTTCCCATTTCTGCCTTGCAAATATGTGCTTTGCATGCATGAAGAGAGGTAAAGACGCTCATCAGACTCTTCATGTCTTGACCACCGTTGTCTCGCTAGCCGGTTGTTTGAGAATTCATGACAACAGCATTTCGCAGCCACCGTAGCATCTGCAAAAATTCACTTGCCATATGTACCTGCAACTGTAGGTGCTATAATACGGTGGATCCGTGGCCTGAATTAATGCCCCATTTCACCTCCCATTTCTAGACAACTAGGAGCTAAAAATGGTGCAATATTGTGCTGAAAGCGTTATTTCAAGCAACCAGTCATACATATATGCAATATTTTCCAGTACACTCATTTGATTCCATACTTCGGCCTGATTCCTAACATGTACGACGTAGGCACAATGAGCTTTCAGTTGTAAGGTTAGAGTGGCACACGTGTACAATGTACAGAAAATTTGATGTGCTGTTGTGGAACTGTCAAGACTGGCTGACGCAACT